AAATCTTTTTTTTTTTTTAAACACATAGATGTTAATAATCAATGTGTGGTGATGGTCATGAAGACTTTTGTTCAGAATGGCCCAACCATTAAGGAGGATGTAGTAGTAATAATAATAATAATAACTTTTAATATTTATGATGCATAAAGACATGCATACGCTTTAAATACGCTTGCTGTATCATAGCAAGAAGATATTTATGAAATCATTTTTATATATTGCCCCAAGTGGTCTGTCAGTGAACTGCAGTTTAACCCCTGGTATTTACGGGTGCATATGGTGTAATTAATTTTTTTCCATTAGAGATGGTTGTTTATATCTGCATTAACTGTTAGTTTCTTTTTTCCAGCTTCATGTAAACTTCAGTGCACAAAATCCTAAATTCTTGAATATTTTGATAATTTGTGGGAATTGCATATTCATATCTGAATGATTTTTAAGTTATGTTATTAGTTAGCTTAGCTTAAAGTCTGGAAGCGGTCTCTCTGTTCGAAGTTTTGTTTGGGCAGAAACTAAACTGATTGTAGGGAAAGGGGGGAATTCAGGGAATCTTCGGGAAGTCACTTCATCAGATCTTGGACATCTGATGAAGCAACTTCATTTAATTTTTTAAGTTCCTTCCGGCAAGACTCCATGGGTGGAGCAAATGGCTAAATGCATAGTAGTCTAAAGTCACGTTAGGGTTTCACTTAGAAACCTCCGACGTGGAGTTGGCCTCATTTAGTAGGTTGAGGTCCAAAGTGTACTTTGGAGTCACATAGATAAACTTTGTCTTCAGCTGTGTGATAACTACCACTGTGCAACAGATTCCCATCAGTGACTTTGACTTGACTTGCTCAGTCTGCCAAACCTTACGCCTTAGTCAATAAAGTAACAAATTAATGAATTATTCAGAAGGTAACTCCTCCCCAACCCAATTAAAGCCTTTAATACAGGCGTAGCTCACAAACCAAGCCTGCAGCAAAACAGCCCCTGTCTTGAACGTCATCTGTAAGCAGCATGAGGACTCTCCAGGAAAAAATTATCATCCTTTCTGTTTTTCTGTCTTTGTTATGTGTCGTTCAGGTAAGTTATTTATTGTTTGTTGAACTTTCATGGAAATATTTTTTTTCTAATCAGTGTTTTATATGACAAAGCTAAAGGATCAAGTATTTGCCTTTACAGGTTCATTCAATGCCTGTGCCTGACGAGTGGCATGGCTTAATTCAGCGAACCAAACGTTCACTGTTGTGGCGCTGGAACAGTCTGAAGCCAGTCGGTGCCAGCTGCAGGGATCACCTAGAGTGTGGCACAAAATACTGCAGGTACAGCTGAAGCTTAAATATTTCATGACAGTCCATTGGTTTACCTGTCTTCCTGATACTCCTGATCATTTTTTGACTATTTTACATTAACTCTGTGTAGCTCTTAAATGTCAAACTCAGCATCATATTCTTTTTTTAAAAAACAGTTTTCACAGTGTGTTCATTACTATGCTGTACATAGGCAGTGTGAAGGTGTGTACACGTGTATTTTGCATGCATGGTCTGGATAAAGTCAAAGGGTAATAATGGTGCAATCATTCTTATCTTTACAGGAAAAATATCTGTTCTTTCTGGATCACCACCTGAAAAAGAGATGCACAAACACCATCAGAATCTACAACAGACATCTGCTTTATGGACCACAACTGCCTGTTTTGTTTTGTTTTCAAAAACCTGCTCGCTCCTTTATTCTGGCTCCAACATTCATTTTGAGCAATCAGATCTTTTTCCACCGCGCTGTGTCAAAAACAAAGCTGTAAAATCCAGGCATGCATAACCAATCAAATGGCGCCACCTTAAGTGATTTGTCTAAACGCTGCTGCAACATCACACAAGCTGTGTAATCTGAATGTGTTTTATAAGAAAATATAAATATCCATGCAAAGTTTGAGCCGCTCTGGGTTTATTGGTTCAAGGTTGTTGCTGTTGTTTTTGTTTTTTTTAAAGAGATTTTTTTATGTATTTATTTGTAAATATTGTAAATAATGTAAAAATTCAAATATACTATACATTTTTTTTCAAGAGGTTGTACTGCCCACATCTTCATTTTCTTTTTTAGTAGTAAAATAAATTCAAAACACATTTATATATTTCTCACACTTCCTGCTACTCTTTCAGTCGAGGAGCTTGAAAAACAGCTTTCCACCCAGCTAATGCGTAAGCTGCATTACTCATCCAAACCACGGCGCTGGGGATGTTGTTTTAACTTTTCCAGCATTCATAAACCTTATTTTAAGGAAGAATAAGAAAGATTATAAACGCATATTCATAACCACTTCCTGTGTTAAAAGTGCCAGCAAAAAGCTTACAGTAACCCAGATAAAGGCCACTTTTATTCTAAGAGAAGTAGTAGTACTGAATTACAAACCCTGAATGTAGTCGATAACAACAGCAGGGGTGAAAATGGCTGATCTTAGGGCTCAGTAGATGAGAGAAACTCATTTTGCACCTACCTAATCTAAGCTTTGCAGGAAGGATAAACAGTCATAAAACAAGGAGTTGCTGACACTGAGGTCGTCGAACCTTTTCTAAAAAAGAATTTGGGCTGGAACTTTGTGCCAAAATCTACTGTCATTACTCATACCTGCAGTAGTACTTAGTACTTATGCCTCTGTAGTTATTCTGACATGTTTGGCAGCTTTTTAAAAATGCCACAAATACTGCCTGAGCCCATGACCTCACACCAATGAGATTTGAAGATACCTGCCCTAAATGGTTTATATCTCGCATTAATGAGGAGAACTGATTTGCCCTCTGAGGTGGCCTTAAAACTGTAGATTCAGAGCTGCGTCCTCACTCTTATTATGCTTTGATAGATGCCCAATTCTCTCCTTCAAAATCTGGCTTACATATGAAAGCAGAGGTGGCCATATTTCCCACCAGTTGGGTTTACATGGGGTCAGCCAGCAGAGCGTCAGCCAGTATTACAGAAGGTCTTGAACATATCACGTCTCTTACTTGGACAGAAGCTGTTATTGATACCCTCACCTAAAAGGGGTTTTGGAGCTGTCAATCACGTGAGAATGGGAAGTGAAACACATCAACAACTGAACCCTAAATCTTCAGTTTCACCGCTAGAGGGCGAGCTGGGGCTGTTTAAGAAGTGAGTATGCTATGGCAAAAGCACGTTTGAGACGTACAGGCCTGCTATCCGCCAAATAATACTCTATTATTAGAGCAGCAAGGGCGTATAGTTTTGAGAACTAATGGATCATGCCTTCACTGTTTACTACACCCACCACTTATATTGTTTATTATGAGTGTGGATTGCCCCCCCCCCCTTTTTTTTAAATAGCCTAGATAAAATGATATTATTATTATTAATAATAATAATAATAATAATAACAACAATAATAATAATAATAATATTTATTCTTGAGTAAGAAAAATAGATGTCAGCAATCAGACGAGGCACTGAACAGCATGTTTATTTTTATCGTTTCCACCCCCGCCAAAAACAAAACAAGACAAAACAAAAAACAACAATAACAAAATAAGAAAAATCGAAGTATATTAGGTTTTACTTGCTTCCTACCGGGTGTCTTGGATACTTGAGTAACAGGAACTTCTCCCTCCTCATTGGCTAACCTGGTCGTGACGCAACAACCCATCCATCCTGAGCGGTGGAGACGCGGCGGCGTGGGGACCGCTGTGTCTGTGGGGGACTTCAATGCCGGAGCGGTTTCATATTACCCTAGTGTTTATTAATAGTTATGAATAAGAGGTTTTGACAACATAGATGAAAACATTAGCTTTCATAATACGCCTTTGACGCCTCTAGTGCGTCGAATAGTCTCGTCCGTAATAATAAAAAAAAGTGCATGTTTTTGGACCAAACCGCATCCACATGAAGCACCTGCTCGGATGGAAAGCACCTGCTCGGATGGAGATCACCTTTAACTGACGGCTGTTTTCAAGTAGGTGCTGCTTTGAATGCGTTTTGCGCTCCTGCTATGTTGCCTTTCATTAAGTGCTTCAGCTCATATCTTGTTCTCGTATTTGGTCACTTCACATTTTCTTGTGTGTGGGTTTGCTATTTCTAGAAGCTGGCTACCTGTGTGCCCTGCCTCTTGTTGTCTAACGTGTCCCACTTAAGCCACTTTGAATATTTCTTTGCCATTGTGTAGATGCACACAAACACCTGGCCGCAAGGTAAGATGCAGGTCAGACATCATCTCTGATTCTCGAGATCCTCGTGAAACTTTCCCTTCACATTAACTGGAGACCACGATGAGCAGTCACTGATGTTGTCTAGTTACAGGGCATCGTCGCTCTTAACAAGCACAAGCACTGTCTGGGCCTCTTTGCTTTCATGTAACCACAACATCCATCCTTCAGGTTGATGCTAACTAGACCTGACAGATATTTCCAGAGAAGCAGCTCAGTTAATCAGAACCATGTCCATGCGCTCCAGTACGCAGAGGGCCGGTTTGATTGGCTTAGATATTTGAGATGCAAGGTAGGAGGACTACCGGCAAAGATGAGGAGTTGTATCCACTTTGCAGTGATGTTGTTGCAGACAAGTAGTCTGAGGTTCTGGCCTACATTCCTGTTATATTATAATACTGAAAATAGGGTGACTCAAGGGAAACTAAACTAAAGGACTGATATTCGTGTAAGGTTCCTAAATGTTGACCAAATAACTTAAACTGATTTGTTTATTACGAGTATGGATAATACTTTAAATAATAAACATAACTATAGTTACATTTTATGAGCAAATTCCTTCATAATATAAGGTAGACAAGGGTTAGAAGTCAGAAGCAGCATGTGCTGAGGTTTGGGATACTGACACTTGATGTATAGATGTGACTCGTGATAATTCAGAGGTTCAGTGGGATTCTGAGACTTTCCACCATACATACCTGGACTGAAATTCATAAATGCCTTTATTTTCAGTATAGCTGTTGATACTAATGTCAAATTTAGCTATAATATCTTACATGTTCCAAGACCATCAGGGAATGATGCCCATGAACAAGGCTGTTATGCAGTTGGGAAGTGGAAAAGCTTTCATTTCTAAATTAATCATGTCCTCGTATTTAAGGAGCCAAAAATGATCTGCAACAAATGAAATGAAGAAATAAAGACAAACACAGAAAAACATATTCAGGTTCATAACTTGTTGGACAAACATTGCTGAAATTTGCCTCTGCACACCACCACAGTTGGTTTCAAATCAGTCAATGTGTGACTGAAGCGCAGACTTTAAGCTTTAATTCAAGGGGTTTACTTTTTTAATACACAGTCCTCATCTCCAGAGGCTCAAAATTAATTGGACAAACTAACATCATTTTAAAAAAATAAGCATTATTTTTAAAAGTTTGAAAATCCTCTGCAGTCAGCGACTGCCTGAAGTCCCCACAAAAACACTGTTTCCTCCCACGAGATGCTCTGCCAGGCTTTTACAGCAGCCACCTTCAGCTGCTGCTTGTCTGTGGATCTCTCTGCCCTCACTTTTGTATTTAATAACTGAAAAGCTGAGATCAGGTTACAGACTTGGCCATTGAAGAATATCTCGTTTCTTTGCCTTGACAAATTCTTGGGTTGCTTTTGGAGCATGTATTGGGTTTTTATCCATGTGCACAATCAAGCTCTGTCTTATCAGTTTTGCAGCATTTAGTTGAATCTGAGCAGAGAGTGTAGCCCTACGCACTTCACAATTCATGCTCCTGCTTCTATCAGCAGTCACATCATCAATAAACACCAGTGACCCAGTTCCACTGGGAGCCATATATGTCCATGCAATAACATTGACTCCACAAAAATTAGACAGGTGATGTGGTACGTTTCAGATAATGAGCTGTTTCACGTCTTCTCCAGACTTTTCTCTTACTATTATCATTCTGCTGAAAAATTCATCTTGGTCTGTCTAAAATGTTTTTTCCAAACCTGGCACTTTCAGATGTTTTCTGGCCGTCTAATCTGGCCTGCTAGTTCTTGAGTGTAGCCAGTGGTTTGTGCCTTGTTGTGAACTCTGCATTTACATTCATGCAGGCATTTCTTGATTGCACACTTGGACCAATTCCTTAAGTTGTTGCTGTCTCTCAAAGCTTCAATTGCATGATTTTTACACCCCCCCCCCCTTACTGCCCCTGACACCTCTTTTTGTCAACATGAGGTGAAATATATAAAATATGAGTACAGAATTTCAATCAACTTTATTTGTCATGATATAACAAGGGAGCAGGCCTCACCTGGCCATTAAACTGTCAGTCAATTGAAATGGTCAATCTTGAAAACCAGGTTTATTACAAAGAGTTGAAGTGTGACATGCACTAAACAATGTTATATAATCATTCAAAAATATTTACCAGAAACAGGATTTTGTGTCATATGATGTGATTATATGTTATGTGCAATAACCCATGTAAGCACGAAAATACACAGAATGTGCTTTAATCAAAGATAACTCGTCTATATGATGGTGATAACTGTATGCTTTTTACTTTATGGCCAGGCGTGACATGCATATTTTAATAATATATATTTTATATTACCTGAATTATGATAATTGTAAACTGTGTAATGTTGTTTTATGAGCACTGCTGTCCTGCAACTGTTATTTCAGTCCCCTAAGTGAATTTTTGCCATAATATAAAAAATTAGCTGTCAAAAAAATTAGCAAAACTCCTACAAGAAACAAAAAAGTGTACAATTGTTATTTTAGTATGTATGTGTTGAATTACATTACAGTTACATTACAGTGTTTTTAAAAAAGCGTCTGCGAAATCCAAATCTGCGTAATCTGTCCCAATGGATGGTTTTGGAAAATGTAAAAATTGTAACGAACTCATTAATCGCTTACATTTTTCAGTAATATGAACTCCTGTTCCTCTTGTGGTGATGATAGGATTATACAGGAGTGAAAATGGTTGGAAAATTGAAAGTATTTCTGGATGTAGACAAGATGCTTGACTATAAAACATTAATGTGCAGTTACTAAATATCCACATGTGGAGGATTTATCCCTTCTTACTGGGATTCCACTGTGTGTTCGTGTGTGTGTGTGTGTGTGTGTGTTCACCTATCTCTGGTTGTTAATCAGGTTTTGTTAATAGATCACACACTAAATGACACAAATATATTAAGAAGATTTCGCTGAGGGACGTCTTTCACCGTTCTTATCGTTCTTATGGTGTCAGCTATTTCAAAATTTTGACTGTGGTAAATTGAGTTTGACACCTCTGATATATAAAGCCTGTATCTGAGCCAGAATCATAAAAATGGTATTTTAAATATATTTTTCTGTGAACCTGTGCAATCAAATTTCAAATAAAGAAAATAGGAGATCTAAAAAAAACCTTAATAGTTAATCAGTAACACATTACACATTTAAATTTGAAACAATCATATCTGTAAGTTCTTGACTCTTGAAAGTTTTCACTGCGCGTGTTATACGAGTCAGGATAGGAATATAAACTGCAGGCTTTATGGGTCAGTGAAGGCCTATAACTGCAAGACGGTAATCATAGCCACTCATCCATCAACATAATCTCCATTACTGACTGAGCTAATGTGGGTGAGGAAAATCAGACACTTGTTTTGTTTTCAGGAAGCTACTTCACTTGTTCCTAAACCTCTATTCTACTCTGTTCTTTATTTTTCCAATTTCAGTCTGGTTTAAAGTCATAAAACAACACTACAACAACACACTTTTCTTCTGTGACTGAACATCATTAGCGCTCACCACTGGATGAATATTTTATATGTAGTTTGCACTTGCTTTGTATTTATCTTTTTTTCTTGTCCTCATTATTTTATTGCATGAAGGGGAGATGTTTTTATTTTAAACGAGTGTGTGCAAAGTCAGCAGCACTACACGTGAACATGATGGAACACTTTCAATTAACTAAAGTGATGTGAAAGTGTATTTACTCTTAGGAGTGCCAGCGGAGCAACTCTGCAGTGCAGCTGCCCTAGTTACAGAGCAGCCAGATGACTGTGAGTGACTGTGGTTGGCCCAGGCTGAGAGAGGAGGAGTTTGTTATGGTTGACTGAATTATGGAGTGTAGGCTGCTAGAAGCAGACTTGGATGGCAGGACCGGTGGGGTAAATTGAGGGAGAAGACTGTGACAACAGTAGCTTGCAGATGTGTTTCAGGTTTTTATCTTCTTCTTTTTTTACTCCAGATTTGAAAATGCATTTTTTAAAATCTAACACTAAAATGTTTAAGTAGGCCCCTGAGCTGCATATACAGTTGGAAAATCCACTTGATAAACTGTACACTCTCGCTTTTCTCTTTAATCTGTTCATGTCATAAAACATTGAGCTGCAGTAATCACTGAGGTAAGAAAACAGAAAAATGAGAAGCACGTATGCAGTAATAGACAAATCCTCATGCAAATGGCAACAGCAAATATATTTTTTTTAAAGATGTAATTGTGCTTTGCACAAAACTCTAAACGTTTTCAGTTATGATTAATGCTTGTCAGTGTTAGCTGATGGCTGTACATAGAGACTGAGCATTCCATCAATGTAGTGTACTTAATACTGATTTTATCTTCGCTTGTACAAGCTTCCTGTTGTATAATTCTGAATGAATTTCTGCAGAATCCCCAAAATTTAATCTATTCTGTGTTACTCTTCCAGGATTAAATTATAGGAACATGGAGACAGCTTTCGTTGTCCAGCCCTATCCAGAAGTATGATTGGAGCATCCAGTCTCTCTGGGGACACCTTGATAGCCTGCCACTTCCCTGTGGTGCAGCTTTCCACTTGGCAGCTTCCTGTCCAGGCCCTGTGCAGCTCTGCCAAGAGGCCCGGCCGGCTGTGCTCAGCAGGCCTGACTCGGGCCGTGTCCCTCCCAGAGCAAGAGTCGATAAACTGTGAGCATGCCTTCACCGGTGACCGGAGACATTTTTCCAGCAGCTACAGCAGCCTCAACGAGGACCGGACGGAAGAGGAGGGAGGCAGCGACGGAAGCTGGAAGTACGAATCCACCTCGTCGCCCGAAGAGACGAGTTCCCACCAGAAGAAGGAAAGCTCCGTGCCTAGAAGCAATGTCCGGTCACGCAACTCCTTCCGTCCCTGTACAGAGCTAAATGAGGACGAAGAGGATGAAGACAGCGACGGAGATAATCTGCACAGATATCACGAGGACTCTTCGTTCGTGCTGCATGGAAATTCCAATTGGCCGCTAAGTAATGTCGCCACAAATTACCCAATATACCCAATGCCCCACGGGAACCTGGACAGTGAATGGGGCAATGAGGGAACTATGCTGGTTAGTGAGAGTGATCAGGAGTGGCTCTCTAACCAGTCCAACCAGATGGACTCACTGCCACCTGAATGCCAGTGCTGTCACATGAGCAGATCTGGCATCACGATGTTGGCTTGTTTGGAGAAGGACTCAGACAGACTGGAGGATAACATGTCCTGCTGCCTCCACGGCCAACACAAATGTTCCCCAGAGCTTCTTTCCAACAACCACACGGAGTATGTCAGTGACTCTTCCTGTAACAGTTCTGACGGCGTCTTGGTTAACTTCTGCACTATGTACAACAGGAGCAACAATCCTGCCACACCTCATGATCTCAGCAGTCCTGCAGCTCACCCCTCTGGGTCATCAGAGGGGTGTGTATTCCTCAACCTCCAACCTGTCCCCCAAAGTCAGAATGAAGAAGTCAAACTTGATAGCATGACGGTTTACTCTCCTCCGAAAGAGGAGGTTGACATGCTGCTTTCTGCTTCCCGCCTGTCCCCTCGGGGCCTTGACTCTAACTGCAATCTGTACTCACTAGAGGAGCTACCCGCGGGTCTCTCCTCTTTAGAGGTATCAGACCTGACTGCCTGTCTTCAAAGCCAGGCCACACTGGCCATGGGGACCAACCAGAAGTACTACAAGCTTGTGACTTGTGACCTCTCTTCCCAGTCACCCAGCCCGGCCTGGTCCAGTGTCACCGGCTGCCCCGAAGGTCAGAGCAGAGGCAGCCCCTTCCTTCTCAGTTTTGATCAGAAGAAAGAAGGACAGCAGAATGAAATTGATAAGGTAAAAAAAAAAACTTTATAGTGTTTGGATGATTAAAAAAAAGATTTAGAAGTACTGTTTTTAGATCTATAATTTTAATGTGATTTGCAAATAGAAGAAATGGCAAATGACTCAATTAAATTATGTACTAATGTTTTATATATCAGTTACACAGCTTTGATAAGAGTAATGAACTTTGCTGCTGCACACATTGTTCCCTTTTGACAATCTGACCACCTTTTGGGAACAGCATTTATAAACTTGATAGAGGACCAGCAAAAGGAGACGGGTGTTCAGTTTTGCTGTTCTCATTTTCAGATCCAAGATTACCAGGTTGCAACCACCTCCACTGACAAAGCCCTCTGCAGAAAGAAACAGGCAGATAGCATCCAGAACCTCTCCCACACGCCTTGCTCGCTGTGCCCCAGCCAGTGTGGCCCACATAGCAGTAAATGCCAAGACGCAAGAGTGGCAACCACACAGCCATCTGTGATGCAGGACCAGGAGCACAACTATCCTTGTGATACTGAGAAGGGTAAAGCAGTGGCTAATAGAAAAATCCAGTTCTTTTGCTTTGTGTCTGTGATTTTGAGTGAAAAATCTTTATCTTACATGTCCTTCTCAGGACCAAGTCCAGATGTGGTGCGCTACAGTAAAGCCCAGAGGCCAACCTCGCTGCCCATCCAGCCCTTTGTTCTGGTTCCTGCAGGAAAGCCGCAGCCGCCGTCCCAGCCCCTTGGCTGCCTGCTAGAGCAGTATCTAAATAAAAAGAGCAGTAAGACTGCTAACATGCAGCCGGCCTTCAGTTTCAAAGGCAAAAGCAGCCAAAGTTTTTCAGATTTTCACCCATCACCGACAGACAACCACTGCTCCATCTTCCTAGAGGCTCCTTCTAGCTCTGATACCTGCTCCACCTGCACACCAAGCCCAGAGTGCTTCATCCGCACGCATTCATGGAATCAGTTGGGTGAAAGCCAAGACTGCACCGGTCCATGCACGTCAAACAGCAGCCTGGATTCACATCATACTAGTTGTCCCACAGAGGCCCAAGAGCAAGACAAAGCAGGCCCACATTCAGGCCAAACTCAGACTAACACTTTGCTTAGTCTTGTCTCGGCTCCGAATCGATCCAGTCTCGTTAGGATTCCCACCTACCAGGACTTGATCAGTCTCACCTTTGAGCAAAGCCAAGTGCGCGCCGAGCCTAAAAGTGCTAATCATTCCCTTAACTACACCACCTATCATTCAATATTGTCTCAAAACCCACCCACTTTAACCATCACCACTGACACCCACCACCCAAACTCGCAGGTGTCTGTTTCTCCTCCCAAAACCTCACTGCCACAGGAAAAGCTCCCACAGTGTGGAGCGGCACCTGCAGCTGACTCAGGCTTTTTTCACTCTAGTTTCACAGCTGCCCTCTCCTCAGTGGCTCCTCTCTCCTCTCTGAGTTCTCTCCTCTCCTTGGCCGCTTCAGGGCTGCAAATCCAGGACTCTGCTGGACACAGTTTGAAGCCAAATCAGAGTCATCACAGTGAGTCTCTGATCCTGAGCGACAGGCCGCCCACAGAGTTCAACCTCTCACCCGATACGTCTTATGAGTCCATGTCTATCAGCCATCTTCAGAGGAGAAGTGAGCCTCAGTTGACTGCTGATAAATGATGTGAAATACTGTCAATATATTATAATTGAAATGTAGTAAAAAGTGACTGGATTGTCTAGCTGGTGATGAGTTGTTAAGAGCAGCAATAAAAACTCACAGTGCTGCAGCAGTGCTTTGAATACCCTGAAGGGGCTTCCTCTCAAACATGACCTATTTTTAACTCTCCCAGCACAGGATTGGCTGAGCCGTCCTCTCTGTAGCCTATGTGTGCGCGACTGCGGGACAAAAGAGAGAAGGATGCAGTAGAAACAGTGTTAATAATTTATATCGCAATCACTTTGTTTTAGTGCTATCATATAAGTCGCTTGGTGTAAATATAGTTATATAGTTATATAAATGTAAACCATTTCCAATAAGGTAAAGATTAGTAATAGAGGAGGCATTTGCACAACTGCAAAAAGTCTATGTGGTGCAGCACTGCAGGCAGCATCAACATGCATAAAGAATTTACTGTGACATTTGCAGAGGCTAGCCAGTATGAGAGATGAAGAAGAGAGACAGGGTGAAGCGAGTCATTGAAGACCGCTGCTGAAATGGAAAAAACGACTCTTTCATCTTTGGTTCCCTTCGACATTTGCATTCCTGAAATATGATAATGAACCCCGAAACCCTGCTCTCCTATGACTGTGTATTGACCCAGTTAGTGAACACTTTCTTGAAACACACGCTGATAGTCTAGTGCAGTGGTTCTTAACCTTGTTGGAGGTACTGAACCCCACCAGTTTCATATGCGCATTCACTGAACCCCTCTTTAGTGAAAAATAAAATATGATTATTTTTTTTCAAATTCAAGACATAGATATGTTTTTTATTGGTGCACAAAATGAGCCGTGCATGTCACGGTGGAGACTCTGCCGAACCCCTAGGGTTCGATTGAACCCAGGTTAAGAACCACTGGTCTAGTGTCATGATTTTAAACTGATAGTACAAGGAAAGTCCCAAAACAAGCTGACTTATACCAAAACCTACCTAGAACTATCCATCTCCAGAGTTTTAATTCATCATTAAAAGAAGATATGGCTTTTTGGAAAATAATCTACATAGAGAGACAGCAATGCAGCAAATCAGTCGCACTAGGGGGAAACAGTTGGCCAGTATAAAATCTGAAATTGAGGACTGAATTTAAAAAAAACTCCAGCCATCCATTTTTCTTTTCCTTATCCAATTCAGGATTGTGGAGGGGTTGGAGCCTGTTCCAGCTAAGAGGCAGAGGTCACCCTGGACAGGTTGTCAGTCTCTCCGGGCCAGTCCCAGTCTTACAGGGCTAAAGTGGAGCTGTGTCTAGCAGTTAGAAAGCTTAAGCTTCCTGAATTAGTTTTTGAATTTCATTTAATACATTTTGAACACTGTCAGAATCCTTAACTTACAGAAATACGCTCACTGGCCACCTTATTAGTTTGTGTGAATTGTAGGCTCCCTTTCCTGTTAGAAACGGCTATTAAAGTTGCTATTTAAGTTACTGACATTATCCATTTCCACATGTCTGAATGCATTGTTGCTGCCATGGAACTGGCTGATTGGATGGCAGTCAAAAAGTTGCACCAAAGTGTCCAGTGAGTGTATATCAGCCTAAAACTGACAGTTTCTGGGTGTTACTCATTGGTTGGTCATGCATCACACCACACATAAGCTTTAACTAGCAATGAAATCAACAGAGACACCTTAACACCACACCAGTTCATGCTCTTGAACAAGTATAAAGTATAAAGTTGTCAGATTTTGTATCTGAATAAAATTCATCCTGTCCAACTTGCTTGTTTGGTGTCTCCAGGGTTGCTGAGGTCTGTGAGCAGGGCGGTGGATCTGATTATGGCTCATTTTGGCAGCAGCAGCGATCCTGAAGAAAAGGTATTTTGCTGACCTTAGCATTGTTATTGACATATCACAATATAAATGTGCCAGCATGTATATTGTGTAAGCAAAAAATATAATGTATAACATTTCCTCTGGCTCAGATGCGCCTGGGGAACAGTTCTTACAGTCCTACAATCGCTGGTCTGGTCCTGGAACACTTGTGTCCAACGATCCAGGATATTCTAGAGGACGGTCTTAGGGATCACAAACTGGATTTTATAATCGGACAACGCCGCAATCATGCCTGGAGTGTGGTCGAAACCTCTACTAGGATTGGTAGGCTAAAGGGTCTCATCAGTTTGCCCAAGCAGGATTCTGTGGTCTTTGATATAGTTTTATAATCTCTGTTTAACACAGGTCCATCCACCAGAGTTCTTCACAGTCTTGTTTCCAAAATCAGACGCTGTCCCCAGCTCACCAGCCACTGCATGAAACTGAGAGCCTTCATCATGGGCCTGCTTAAGTAAATACCTTTGATGTTACTAATGAGGCAAATAAAGATGTGCGAAGAACATAACCTTTGATGTTCTCTTGGTTGTTTCTTTTTTTACAGCTTGAGAGCTTTGGAGTTCTGGCTCAGTCATCTTCAGAGTCAAAAAGGTGAGGCGACAGGCAATTTATAGTTCTTTATTTCTGCCTCCAGGGAGCCATAACTCAGCTTGTGCACCACTTTCGCTGACACTCAGTGAGCTTAACAACTAAATGGATTGCAACGACTCTTGAAATAACATAATCTCCCACCTGTATCCTGCTTTTTTTTACTCCTCAATACTTTCAGTCTGTTGGCTGTCTTCTTTGGATTTAGCACCAATTAGGGAATGCTATCAGTCTAACAACCTAAAGTCAGGTTAACCAACTAAACAGCTGTAAGCTTATCAAAAACTTGTCAGTAGTTATCTATAGTACAGGAGCTGGAAATCTTAGCTCCTGTCGCTTTAAGGCTGTCTCCCTAGAAGTTCAATTTTTCTGACTGGTTGTCCCTCGCCAGGAATGTCGGGTCAGTAGAAAAAATGTTGGAGAATTTGTGTTTGGAGTCTTTCTGAAGCATACCAGGACTAGATTTATCTTATTAATTGAACATTTATCCATGAAAAATATGAGCATCCAACTTTAAATAAGATAAGACATAATACAGCTTTTTAAATGCTCTAGTCCAAAGTACCCATGATAAAAACTGAACCCAAGCTATCAAAATATTATTGCTTATGTGTGGATCTGTGTGTGATCACTTCCTTTACTTTCTTCCTAGATGTTGTGAAAACCTACTACCATTCTTGGGGGTTCCTGTCTATGTCCCTGGGTCGCTGTCATCCTTTGTTTCAGGAGCTGCTTCTTCTCCTGCAACCACTCTCTGTGTTGCCCTTTGACCTCAACTTGCTTCTGGAGCCCCGACTGTTACGCCACAGACAGCTGTGGTCAGAGGAGCAGGCTCTCTCCCCACCTCAACCGTGCTCAGCGCTTTTAGCAACCAGCTGGCCAAGACTGCAAGGCGACAAAAAGGAAGGCATCAGCTACTACAGTCAGATTTCACACCAGATTGATTTGCACCGCCAAGAGTCTCTCAGCTCTCACAGTTCAAGCTGCAACAAGCAACAGTGTGGTTGTATGCAGACCAGCAGGAGTCCAGTGTTAGCTCCTATTCCAGAGTGGTGTCCTAAGGAGCCTGACGTTGTGGATGGAATGGAGGACTGTAGCCAAAATCATACAGATACTTGGTTTCAAATAAGTATGGACAACAAGAAAGAAGAAACAAAGGTGGAAAAAGACTGTGGCATCTCAAATCCACCTACTACCGAACAGGCACAAAGTCCTTGTTGGGGTGGGCTTCGCTGGGCTAAACTGTTTGGAGCAACTGGTACTTCATCCACACTGGGAGCAATTTCTCAGAGTCACACAGGAGCACACACCACAAAGTAAGAACCAGTGAGTGAATGAGCGAGTAATCCTGAGTAGTAGTTGTTGTAGTTGTTGTCTTTGTGAGGATGCTATCCAGACAGTGTGTTACTCTACTCATGAGCATTATCTCTTTATCATTTGTTTTGAAGCCACAGGCGACCATCACAGTGGCTACGTTTGGACCGATCACAGCTTGGACTCTTGGCTCAATCCATCAGGTCCATGAAGCTAGGAGGAGCTCAAGCAGACAAGGACTGCTGAAAACTAAACCCTCCATGGGGGAGAGCCAGACTGCAGATTATTTACTGTAAGAACAAAGGTCTTAACTGGATGAAAGTGCAGCGCTTAGCCATGCTGCTGCAGAACTGAGAAGAAAGCACAAAAACGCAAGATTAACAGCTTTGGCTCTTACTCAGCAAGCTTTGCATTACACCAAATGTTGTGAATCAAAGCAATGTTTTTGTGTTCTTGCTGAGTACCTGTTAAATATCAGCTTATCACCATGTTGTGCTTTTAAAACAAATTAGCGCTATGGACAGGGGAGGGTGTAGCATCACAAAGTGTAGCATAACAGCAAAAAAAGACTAGTTTAAGTGGCAGATCTTCACATCAGACTAATAATGTGTCAATGTATAAATTAATTGTCCATGTATGCAGAAACATGTGTTACATATAGTATTCATGAAATTATAAATGTCAGGAAAAGACCTAGTGATACTGATATAATAGCTCTCTAACTAGTCACTCAAATTGGATTAGATATGCACTCACTTCATAAGCTAGACCTGTTCAACTGCTTGTTGATGCACATCTAATCAGTTAGTCACATGGTAGCAATCCAATGCATTTAGGCAAGTATACAAGGTCAAGATGACCTGCTGAAGTTCAAACTGAGCATGAAAATAGTTGCTTAATGGGCTAGGCTGGGTAATTTAGGAACCGGTTTACAGTTTCTAAAATACAGAGAATGGTCAAAAAAAGGCCAGGTGAGCATGGCCATACTACTTTGAGCTGATAGGAAAGTAACAGTGACTCAAATAAGCATTTGTCACAATCAAGGTTTGCAGAAGAGCATGAACGCACAGCACATCAAACCTGGGACCTTGACACTCCTGTCCGCAAAATTGGAAAACGAGATCTGAAAAACACTGCCTTGTCTAATGAGTGTCGATTTCTGTAGGGTCAGAACTTGGCGTAAATAACATGAAGCATGGATTCATGCTGCCTTGAATCAACAGTTCAGGTTGTTGTTGTTGTGATGGTGTGGGGGATATTTTCTTAGCACACTTTGGGCTCAGGAGTAACCGAGCATCATTTAAACACCACAGCCCACCTGAGTGTTGTTGCTGATGACGCCCATCCCTTTATGACCTCGTTATGATTCAAATCATGGATGTGCAGCTGAAAAATCTGCATCCGTAGTCATGTTGATATGAACTAAAATTTCCAAGCAATGTTTACAGCAACTTGTTGAATCTATGCCATAAAGAATAAAGGCTGTTCTGAAGTCCAGGTTCAACCCAGTGTAGCAAGGTGTGTGCATGTGCAGTGACAAACCTTCTAAGAGCCAGTTAGTGTGTTTATAACCTGCAGATGGTTGCTCAGTAGGTTGCTTAGTCTGAGGTTTCAAAAAGGGAGTACAGCAATTGGTTCTTTTTTTTCTGTGTAGTTTTGTAATTTGTGCCATAAGTTGTCAGATATGACTTGATGAATATAATCAGGCTAACAAAAATACAAATCTATTTAAAAAAAGATGGGAAGCCATATAAAATCTTAAAAAACCCCCAATAACAAACAAACAAACAAACAAACAAACAAAAAACAGGAATAAAATTACCTGCAAACAATTTAGCCCATCATTTACCAAAAAGTAGAAAAAGACAGCATCAAATATTGAAAATGGTAAGTAATTGGTTTTAAGCTAATTTTTAAAATTTGATGCCAGTAACACTTTTCAGAAAATAGGGGACAAAACAAAACAAAAATAAGCACTTTGTGAACCATCTTTGCAGTCTAACGTGATTAAATGATAAAAAAGAGCATCATAGAGGCGCTGTCTGTCCGAAGTAAAGATGGTACTGGTGATCTTTGGGCCCTTGAGGGGCAGCATTCGCTTTCAAGAACATCTCGACCGTCATTTTCTCGGAAGATTAAACTGATATCAGGACGTCAGCACCTGATATGCACATGTTCCAGCATCATGGCTGTAGTAGAGACTGGGAGGTTTCTGTGTAAATACAACATATGACACAGGGTGCCACACACAGGGTTCTCCTGCAAGGCGATGTCATTCATACAATGTGAATCTGTTGTAGACAGATGTTCAAAACTTCCCGTTTCTCACATTACGTTCCGTCATTGTCATTTTATTGATGAAAAAAAGAAAGAAAAAAAAGAAATAGGTGCTTATCAGTGCCAGATACGCCACACACACACTCACACACACCAGCCTCCTGTAGTAGATTGTCTGTGATGGTTTTATTCCCAGTAACTTGCCTTTCTTCTCCATATTCACAGCATGGATTTATTGTAAATGCATGTCGAGTCAGCAAAAGTACAGAAGGTCGTCCTGTCTTCATTGGATCTCTCAACTTCCTTTCGCTGCTTTTCTCCCCTTTGACGTTTTTACAGGTGCAGATTTTGTTCTGGACATTTTCTGGCATGGAACTTTTAAATGTGTAGAGCTGTTTGGTTAATACTGTAGCATGCCTTCAGGTCTTCCAGTGATGTTAACCACATAAGCCACCTTGTGGCCGTTTCAGGTATTTAACTGTGTGTCAGGTATACTTTGATTGACTGGTATTGATATAAGATGGAAGAAAATAGAGGTAAATGTGACTTTCATTGAATAGTATGAGGTCTGTTAAGTTTTTCCTTCCTCCTATAGTTTCTCTTTTCCCCCGAATGCTTCCTCCAATGCCCAGTGACAATCAACCTGTTAATAAAGACTTGACATCTTCACATGTATTCACCTTTTTCTTTTTTGTGTCTTTACATTTAACTGCTTGTGATTTGAAAGGATTTGACAAATTTTACAACTTCATCATGCTGGTTACGATCATTTTATTGGGATGTGTGATATTTTTTTTTACTTGCTGCTCTTTTCCAGTGCAGTCTGGGAAGGTTTACCAAAGGTATGTCCACACAGGAAAAGGTACCCTGTAGGATGGTGTAGGAATAGACATATCCCACTTGTGGGAGCTGCCATGTTGCACTTTTGGAGACAGAAGGGGGGTGTCCAAATTCATAGGCTGCATCCTCCTGAGGTCACATTTGTAGGCCGATTATGTCACAGGGCGGTCCAAATTCATAGACTCAGCCAACAAATGCACCCTCCTTTTCCCTAGATTTGAAGGATGGGTCAGGTGTATCCTTCGTGGCCCACAATATAACAGAATTCATAGCGCGGCCCAGTCAATTCCAGTTTCCAACAATGGCAGCAGCTACTTAGTTGTAATATTACTCTTATTACTCGTTCTGGGTCACAAAATAAACTTTTAACATATTTTCAGTCGAGAATGTTCTAGGTCTTAACTAGGGAACATATATATATATATACATGTGTGTGTATATATATATATTGTGTTCTGCTTACTGCCTCGTCTGTTTTTAACAGTAGACAGTGATTCAGTTTGCGTCTCCTTTTATTGTCTTCATTCTGTGTTTATGGTTTGGTCCTTTTGTCTTTACTTGTCATGTTTGACTTTATGTCTTTCTGTATAGTGCCTGGGATGCCCAGAACTCAAATTGCACTGTTGGAAGTTTAAATTGGTGTATTGCAAAAATAAAACTATGAAGACACTCAAAATAAACACATTGCTGTCACTGAAGCTAGTTGCTTGCAGGTGCCCACCTCAGAGTTATGGGAAAACAGTCAGAATTCTGACTATTTTCTCAGAATTCTGGAAAAGAAAAAAAAAGATCTGTCCACTTCTTTTATTTTTGG